CCTTAATGATTCTGTGATTCTGTGACTTTCAGTGTAACAAGGGGCTTTTGCTGCTTCTTTATTTTGTTTTGAGGTGTTGTGGGTTTTTGGTTTTGGTTCTGGTTTTTTTTTGGTGTCAATCCACATTTACTGAAAATTGCTGAAAATTTTTGTTCGGGAAAAAAAAGTAAAGAGAAAAAGTGTCTTGATTTATGAATAAAATAATGCTGAAACTGCACCACTTTAACCCAAGAAACAAGCCCTTCAGATAGTGACGACCTCCTTCTCCCTTCCCAGACCTGAGACCTGTAACTTGCTCCTGCCTTCCAGGAGGATGTCCTGATCCCACACTGAGGTCAAACCTCAGTACAGCTGCCCATGCTGGTTGGTACTCAAGATTCTTTGAAAGCACTACTACACAAGTAGCTGAACCCTCTTTTTCTTGCTTTTACATGGCTTGACAAAGAGCTAGGGGCTACCATTTGACCCTTGAGGGCAGTACATGAAGAAACTAAGGAGAGGAATGCCTGTTAAGAAGTTTCTAGGGTGGGTTGCTTCCTGTCCTCCTATGGATGCTGTCCCATTCTGTATGAAATACTCAAACACTCATTATGGCAAGGGACAAACCTGGAAATTGTACCACCAGGAGAGTGCTTCAGGAGGGAGACTACCCTCCCCTTTTCTCATTGATTGCAATAATTCAATGATCATAAAGTAAAGTGGTCCCAAAATGCAAAACTTAGGGCAAAGCTGTTTTGATGTTTAGAAAATGACTCTTACTCGGGGTTCAATTTCCTCTGCAGCTATTCCTCCTCAGAAGCAGTAAAAATGTGGCCTCTTACATCCTGCTAGCATCTCAGCCTAAAGCTAATAGTTAAAAGGGGAAGGCCATCCTCTTCGCAAGCAATCTATGAGATGAAACCTTTGAATCACGGTTTTCAGTGCAACAGCCACAAAACAGAACAGAGTAGTTGACTTTCGAAATTACTGCGTGTCCAGAGAGAAGGGCTAAAGTTTTTTTAATTGACAAAAAGCTGTTTATTTTGGCTCATCTGCTGGCCAAAATGTGACTTACTGAAAGACACCCACATGTAACACACTCTTGCGTATATTAAGAATGAAGGTGTATATAGCTGTAGAGTAATAGCAGATTGGTAGATACAGAATAATAAAATTATTTTAAATGGCATACAATAGCCATAACTATAGCCACTGTTCTTGCATTTTGTACTGTGGAATGTAAGATTTGGAGGATTTCTTTTGAGTCTATGATTAGTATTTCTGCCTGTGTGCTTGTAAAAAGTGTGATAGGCTGTGCAATTTTAACCTTTGTCTAAAAGTTGTTTTGCTTTTAGTCTCCAGGAGTTTCTTAATATACTCAACTGGTCAAGCACTGCAGCGAGAATCCACCTTGATTTGCTCTTCAAGTTCAGTGTAGACAAGATCCATCTTTAATAAATGACCTGGATTGAGACCTGCCTTGGGACATATAACTGCAGGAACAGGTCTAAATGAAAATGCAATATTGATCTTCTCCCATTTCAGTATTGAACTAACAGGGAGAGCCAGGATGGTTCATTCTGTTTACAGTGTAAAGACTTTTCTGGATATGCATAATACGCATTGCAATTGATAATGAGACGAGGCTGCTGATGAGCAGTTTCTAGACTCACCAGTCTGATTAATGTTCTGTGGCCACACAGTTCAGCAAGTAGTTACTCCAAGTTGCCAAACTGCAGCTATTTGCTAGCATAAGCTGTCCACCACAGTTTAGTCTCTGTTGGTGTGAGTTGTTCCTGCTGTCTGTAGATGTATTGCCTGGATCTCAGCAAGGCAATTTTTCATATAAGAAGTCAGCTGCAGTGGACATACGTTTTGATAAGATAGACTTAGAAATCACTAATAATGGAAAGTCTATCATCTCCTTACACTGTTTATGACAGTACTTCTCAGAGCAGTCAGAAACTGTTTCCTAACATCTTCCCTAGAGCTGCCTTGCTGCAGTTTAAACCACTACTTCTTGTCCTGTTCAGCAAGCGTTTGGAGATTATTATATTTTGTTCCTCTCTGCAGCTACTTACACATATTTGAAGACAGTTGCATTCCTTCAGCAGACTTCTTTTGTCCAGAGAAAACCTCACTTCCTTAAATCTTTCCCCTCAACTCATGTTTTACAGACCTCTGGAAACATTTTTCAATCTAGTCCATATTTATAACATGATGCAGAAGCTGAACTAGGATAAAATATTCCAGCCAAGGAAACTGGAGGATTACTTTCTGTGTTCATTTTACTTTTTGATCTCATTCTTACATTCTAGTGCAATTAGCAAATTTAACAACTAATCTCTATTCCATCATCCAAGTTTTGAATGAAAATATCAGATAACACCTCATGTAGGAAAGACTCAAATGGAACCCTTTCCAATCCCTGCTTCCAGCTTGATAGTGAATAATTAATATCTACTCTTGAGGACTAATTGCCAAAAAGCTTTGTATCTACATAGTAACTTTAATATAGCAGTTACTAATTTTTTCTGTGAGAATACCCTGTAAAGTTTTTGATATTGTCTTTAGTCAAAATATATGACATACTGTTTTTTCTTCTCCATCTGCAAGGTCTGTTTCTTTATAACATGGGCAGGTAATACTGATTTGACATAATTTGTCCATGAAAAAAGTACATTAGCTGCTACTCATGTCTTTGTTATCTTGTGGGTACTTAAACAAACAGTTTGAGAGACATTCTGCAGACTAGTCAAAACAGAACAAAGGAAAAAATGTTCCAAGAAAAGATGTGCTCTATCTGCTTCTTTTTTTCATAAATTGTTATACAATTTGATATCCTGATTCAGCCCAGCCTCCTCTTGGGCTTACTATTGGGAGCTCTCCTATTGGGATTTCTCCTATAGGGAATTCCTTGGGAGCACTGACTGCAGCAAACTGCCACTTATTGTTTTGTATTTGAAGAAAAACATACACAGGCATTCAAATTTTAACCATTAACCTCCTGAATGAAATGGTAGTCTTTAGAAGTCTTAGACTTGCTCAAGACTTGCTAGACTTGCTAGCTGACCTCCACAAAAGATTTTTATTAAAATTTTATTTACAGGTAAGCCCTCCAATGCACTCAGAGGCAGACATTTAGTGAAACACACAAGACGACCATAATGCATTTTCAGAATTTGTCCAAACAGTAGTAATAGTAATATAACAGGAAAGATTTCTTACTGTGTAAAACCAAAATTTAACGATGGGAGCATTGTAGAACTCATAAATCTTTCTTCCAACAGGGATCAGTCTGTGCCTGCTCTGAACTTCCTCTTCCTCTTTCTTTCTTGAGGACTCTCCATTCCCTCGTCCCAGCATTGCCTACAAGAAAGGACATTTTTGTGTTTCTTTTTTTGTGAAAGACAAATTAAGCTTTTTTTTTTAAATTTCAAAAGGAGACTATTCAAAACTTCTCTGATTTCTTGATATTTAGACAAAACCAGGTGTCCATAGCTAGGTGTAAAATGCTTTGTTTTCAGATTATCTTTTTTGCAGGGAAGCTGCTGTTTAATACTTTATGAACTGAAAAAGCAATGCTTTGGCAACAACTGCCAGCACCAGTGTGAAATCGTTGACTGGTGAACAAAAAATGAGATGTGGAGAACATTTCTCCTTTTTGCTGTGTGGACAGCAAAAATTTTACCTGACAACAGCTTTGTCTGGTGTACTTCTATACAACAAACAGATGCACACAGAAAACAGATAAGTTTTGGGTTTAAACAAAGAGAAGTTCATAAGGCTGAGACTGAGAGAGAACAACAGGGGGAAAGATGAGTTGGCAGTTGCTGGACTGGAAGCAATGAAGCCAGTGACTCTTTTTATATTGAACACCGGATCTGTCACAGGCAATGATCCCACAGTGAACTTCACATGGACGTAGAGGACTAACCAGTAGAGTTCACTGCAGCATTAAGGCCTTGGATTGAAAGATCCTTCCACATGGTTGTAGCTTCTTCCATAATGAAGTTCCAGACTGCTCATGCACTGCTTCTGTTATGCTTGATCTCATGGTTACCACTGCAATTCAGACTCACTGAAGAGCTATGCTGAGCTCCAGAAACACATACTTAAGAAGTCCTCAGCTGTAAGTGCAAACCTAACAGGCAAAAGACGGTAATATTTTGTTTACTCTTAGCTTCATGGTCAGCTGCAGACTTCATAGTCAGCTGCTGAGAGGTGGAAGGGGTGACTAAACTGTATATTCACTGAAGTTAATGCTTAAAAGGTGTTTCTTTGTATTTAGAGTACAGTGTGATCTATTAAATGTTCTTTGTGAAACAATTCTTTTGTGAATAGTAGACTGAGTGGATTTTAGGTCACTGTGCCCTGGGCAAGTTCTTACGATTTAGTTTGTGGCAGCACCTATAGATTGTAGCAATCCTACACATGAAAGCAATTGAGATAAAACTGTCCTATCTAATTATGCAGGGATTGCACGGTGATGCTTTTATTTAAATATTTCTAGAATGTTTTTCTACAAGTAGATCAAAGCACATTGCTACTTTTATGTTAACTGAAGCAAACTTTCCCCATCACCGAAGATGATATTGTTCTCATCTGCAAATTAAAATGTGGAAGACCAAGCCAAATTAGATGCCAGGCATATTGTCTTTCAATAAAGAGGTTCTTCTTTTATCTATGTCTGTGCTCTTTGATTCAACAGGATGTTCAGCACATACTTAACTAATCAGCTTCAGGTGAGCTATTTGATCTGGTTCTAGTGCCCTACAGGAACAGGACAGGCAATTCTCACACATATAAAAGTAAGAATCACAATCTTTCCTTTTTTTCCTTTTTTTTTAGGTCTCATGTGGAGATACTCGTATAGGTCTGTGGCCCTGTAAAATAGTAATTTGTAATGATAAACAGGTGACCACTTTTTTTTTCTTTCAGGCAGTGTAGATATTTGTAACATTATTAGGAGCATGTGTGGTCCTAGATAGCTCCTGCGTAATATTTCTCTTTCATTTAATTTATGCAGTTAGTTTTTTCCACTGGTATTATTACTTTCCACATGGTTCCTTATATTCTTGAATTTGACTATGCACAGATGTTGCCCTGCACATTTTTCATCAAAATAGAACAAAGATTGAGGACACAAGTATACTGCACTGAAACTAACCTGCTGAGATTTTCTTCAAACTGTAGTCTGCCTTGATGAAGCTACCTACTTCCCTTAAGTTTTTATGCCTACAGAATTCTAAATTCATTGCCATAAATGCAGATAAAACAATGCATGTTAAAAAATTAAATATCCATCCTGCTGATTCTCACAGAGCCCATAAAACCCCCTCAAAAGTCCATCAAGAGCTTTGTTAAAAAGGAAAAAGATGAAGTGGTTGTTAAGCAGAGGAGAGAGTTCTTTTTAGATAAGCAAAATGTCTGCAAGAACATGAGACTTAGTGAATATAACTATAGTGGCAGCGATTACACAACTTTCACAGAACTCCATGTATCATTATCTGAAGTCTACAGATCTAAAGTGATTCCCTGATCTATATCGGGGAATGTTTATTTGGGAAAAAAAGTGGCATATGATCTGAATGCTTGGGAAAATTATAGTCCAAGAAGGTACTAATTTCTTTGCTTCTCTCTATCACCTGACACTGTTTCAGGGAAAACTGCCATCTGGTGCTAGAGTTTTCTGTAGCTTTTCCCAAGGCTTTGTCTCTGCTGTCCTCTGGTGCTCAAGAATTTTGCAGCAGAGTGAAAATGAATACTGGCAATTTTAACGAATGAGCAGTGCTGTGCTTTAGTGAAAAAGATTGTTTTACAGAGTTTAAATCCTTCACAATTTTATAAATTTGCTAATTCTGAGGGACCCTTAGCTCTTACTGGAATCAGAGAGTGTGAACGTTTTTAGGATAATGCTCTTTTAGTATCTGGATTTATGCTTTAGTTCATGGATACTGATTTCCCATTTGATATTGCTTTCTTGTTGATAATGAGGCTGTAATTTTATCTTGCTGTAATTATTTTTGAAATAATTGTATTGTATAATACTAACCTCTCCCCTCCCCCATGCTACAGATGGGGAATTGCTCTGAGATGGCCAGGGATTAGATTTGACCTGATGTCCCCGATTGTTAATTATATCACAGTGTTAACAAATTGAAAAGCCTCCCCATTAGAAACATGCAGAAATAGCTTATGTGAGTTTGTTAACAGAATAGCTGCAATGCTGAATGTGAACAAATGTGTTTTTGCTTGGAGGCGGAAGCAATAGGGTGGGAATAACTCAAGACACTGCTCTGTGTGGGCGGCATCTCTTTCTCTAATACACAATTTTATCCATGATTCACCATGAGTCATGCAAGGTAAACCCGACAGCAGCTCAACTACATTGTAAAGTACGGTACAACTGCATCATTTTAGCCTGAGGGGATTGATGTGCGCATAGTTTTTTTCATGGAGATTTTTTCTAATCAGGATTCTGTTTCTTCGTTGTTGTTGTTCCCCCCCTCCCCCCGCCTCTGTTTTATGTAAGACCATTCAGTGATAGGGAACCAGGACAGTTTGGGGTTGTGCATTTTTGCATTAGTATATGTTAATGATCCTATAACATATTTCTCTGTTTATAATTAAATAACAGGAATTTCAGTCCTGCTAGAATGATCACAGGCTCTTCAAATTTTATCCTCAGTGGAATCTATGTGGTACATATAGCCTTAACCCCTATTCACACAGAACTGGTGTGGAAAAGGCAATAGCTAGGTGGGTACACTATACCTCTCCCTCTGCACACCCCGTTGTACCCTGCGCTACGTATGGAAATGCTGCCTCCGCGGTAGTTGTTCTAGGGCTACTGTTCTCTGCTTTGAAATACTGGTAGGAAAAACGGTTTAATGCCTTTAAGTTACAGGTGTGTAAAATTGGATTTTTCATATGCTCAATGGTTCTTGAAGGTGAATACAGAGGAGCAGGTCTAAAGTACCGGCAGCTCAGTCATTCTGGCTGCTGAGCATGGCGAAGGACACGGAGAGTGCCAGAGCAGTTGTGTGGTGGTGTTGTGGGGGGTTTCCAAAACCCTTGGAGAAATGGAGGGAAATCCCTCCTTATGGAGAGGGCCAGCACTTTTGCCTCGTGACCACTGGCAGAGTCTCCCACTGCTGTTTTCCATGAGCTGAAGGGGTGCCTTGCTGCTGGCATGTGCGATGCTGCAAGCACTGTCCCCCAACAGGGTGGGTGAGATGGGCTTGGGGCAGGAGGACACTAGTCTTCAACCTTTCCTATCTTAAGAATTGTATTTTTAGTGATACAATATTTGGTTAGTTCTTGCCACAGAGAAAAGGCTAAGCAGACATACTACAGATGAGACAACATGAGCCCAGAAGCATACACAACTAAGTTTGCTGCTGCTGAAAAGTCCTAACTCAGACTCTTAGTGAAGTTCAAACTTCCTATATGATGTGGAAAATTAGAAAAAAAAAAAATCAAAACAACAACTGAAACATCTTCTAAAGGACTTCTTAGATGAGTTATTCTGTGTTCTGAAATAAGACCAATTACCAGCAAATGGTAATAATAATATCCAAACAATAAGGCACTGAATAGGGATGAGGATGCTCCTCGTTAGGGCTTCCAGAACCAGTGTTATTTTGGAAGGAGGGTAGACTGCTGGGGTTTCTGACTGACCTAAAAATCAGCAACTAATTAAGGCCCTGGTTAGGACATTGTACAAATACAAAATGTCCCTGGCCTTTAGACTCCTCTATGTCTAATATTCAGGATTAATGACTGGCAGCTCCATGCATAAACTGCGGTAAATTCCTTGACGCTGAGGGAGTGGTGATGAGAGCAGAATTCAAGGGTGTTTTTGTGAGTGGCTGCTATAGGGAAAGTCTGTTGCCTTGCATCTAGGTGTTAAAGAAATGTGTGCCCAGCACTCTCATATATCTGTTATGAAGTTAAAAGCAGGTGTGAGTAACAAGTAGTTTACAGTGAAAAAACACTACATCTTTATAGTACATCCAAGTGTTCAGCTACCCACCAGATCCTTTGAGAAGAGTGTAAAATGAATACATACTCGCATGCACCCATGCGGAGACTGACTTCGCTGTTGCCGTAGTCTGTGTGATCACATTCTTCTGTGCAAATGAGGTGTAAAATAGGGCAAAAATCACTGAGGCCCTGGACCTCACCCACTCTGCACAAGTGCAGTCCAGAGGAAGAAACTGACTCTTTTGGCCTATCATTAGTCACTTGGGCTTAGCAGTGCACAACACGTAAGACTTCAGAAGAAATCAGTGAAGAGACCTTAACGAGATATGATCTCTTTATCTTAGCAGTACTTTTACAAAGATGTATTTGTTGGGTATGATTAGAAATACAGCTAGGCAGATTGTTTAGATGTTAAATTATTTGGTAGAAATGGGCTTTTAAAGTGACCAAAATGATTTTTAGTTTGTTTTGTTTGTTTAAGCTTTAAGCTGAACAAAGTTCTGAAACCCAAACCATGGAAAAATTTTGAAAATATTTTAAACAACCATATGCCAATTAAGTAAGTGAATAAAATAAAACTGTAGTCATCACAGAAAAAAAAATCTGTTTGTTTGTCCTGAAAGGAAAGAATGTGGAGGAAAATATGCAGGTCATTCTGAATACAATAGTCACGAGCTACGGTTAGGGTGAGTGAGTGATCTATTGAGCCAGAGTTCATTTGTGAACATTTACATGTTTACAATGTTTACACCAGTAAACATCTGTGATATCACACACTTAATATAAGTGTGGCTAAAGGGAAACTTCACAAAGGTATTTCCCAGTCTTGCAAGCATCCTTTCATCAGTGCAGAAGAGATCCAAACTAACTTATGCTGGACTATTGGACTATGGCTGGAATAACACAAAACTTCAATCTAAAATATCTTCTTATATTTAAAACATGTCCGGTAGGAACGCTCTTGCTGACACAGTGCCTGAGGGTGACTAAATATAACTGGCCATGGCATCTTACCACAGAAATATATGCAAAGGTCTCTTTGCTAGCAAATTATCTCTCCTCACTACTGAAGAGCACCTGAGTGAAGAAGCTGTGTTAGAAGCTTCTAGAAGTCCTAAAGCACAGTACAGATGATATGCAGAAATATTAAGTCAGCAGTAGTGTACCAAACATATTGTTTCTAAACTTGCTGGACTACACAGAAACAGTTCTTACTTTATAAAAAAAGCCGTAAGTGTCTGAAACTTCACTAGAATGATGCATCAAATTTAGAAAGAATTAAGGGCAGAGTCAATGACAAAAAATAGCAGTAGGACTGTCAGCACATAGAAGGGAGAAGGAAGGGAACATCTAAGACTTCCCTGGAAAAGCAGATCCAGTTCACACATCACTTCCTTGTAGCAGGAATCAGAAGGTAAAAAGGAAACACAGTATTGTAGACAAGAAACCAGGAGCTGGGATAACTGCAGAGAGATGGAAATGACTTCCTCCCCAAATTTCTCCCCATTGCCAAGAAAAAGGCAGCTTGCAAAGCGCCTATCTGATTTCAATAGGCACTTCGTAAGTGGATCAGAAGCCAGGGATAGTAAATTGCAATCAATAGCTAACAAGCAGAGAATGGCCCATTGCTGCTATTCTGGCTTCTGGTCCTTCCCAACAGCCAGGTTCTTGCCTGCAAACGGGTCCTGTAGGTGGGTCTTGTGGGCCGCTCCTTCGGCTTGCCTGCATATTGGGTCCTGTAGGCAGGTCCTTCTGCCTGCCTGCAGACGGGGTCCTGTGGGCAGCTCCTGCTGTTTGCCTGTGGGAAACAGTCTGTTTTTTTGGTTTTTTTGTTTTGTTTTTTTTTTTAAATTAACCAGGAAAATCCTTTTTACTTCTATGCCTCTATCCTGAATGTGACCAACTGGGGTTAAGTTTTAAGTCTTTCAAAGACACCACAATTAAACCCAAACAAAAGCAAACTGAACGAAGCTAAGGCAGGTCTGATAGCTCAGGTAATTGCCCAAATTAAAAAGTGTCAAACAAGTCTGAGAACAGGAGACTGGAAGCAGGTGACTTGTATAGTTTTCACAGCTTTAGCTATTTGATTCTCTTTGTGGTGCAAATTATTCCTCTAAGGCTATGTTACTAATACAGACAACTCCTTTGTTACACAATTCTGCTGAGCTGCAGAAGCCCTTAGTAAGGGCTGAGCTGTCTAGCTGCTTGCTAATGTCTTCAGTGGATTAAAAATTGCATGTGTGCATGTGTGAGAGGCACTGACCACAAATTCATAAAGAATTCTGAAAAACGCTTTCTTCATTTTTTTTGCCTGTTTGCGCATTTACTTGCCCTCTAATGAAGTTAACTAAAAGAAAAAAAAGATCTCTAGCTTCTATGAGTCTTTGGGCCCTTCCACCCAAAGGAAGACTTAGCGAGCTGTTTTTCTACCAGAGGCCCATTCATCTATTATGGCTGAGTGTTTTCAATTCTGAAATCTCATTAATTTATTTCAGACAACATGGCATCAAATGGAATCAAAGTAAGAGGATATTACACCACAACATGATGCTTCAGCATCACCATGCACTGCTGCAACATCAAGACACAATAATGTCAATTTGTCTGGTTTGAGACCCTCTGAGGAGAGGGGATTGTTAGGGGTGGTAACCTATCATCTGCTAAATTTATCTGTCGGACAGCCTGCAACACCCATAGAGGTGGGAATAACAAATTGACCGCACTGAGGCTGGTGATTTATTGTCAGCACTTACGGTGAGTTCCATGTCCTCATCCTCTTTTTCTTTCACTGGCTTCTCTGGTTCCTCTGGCTCCTTCTCTTGGAGATGGATCTCGTTGGCTTGGGACATGTAAGGCATATCATCTTTGTTCTTGAACTCCAAGCTGAGGATTGAAGGAGGAAGTAGAATTCCTAGAATTACCTAAAGCAATGATAATGATAACAATAATCATCACAGTAAACAGATTAGGATCATGATGGTTACTTAGTATCAAGTGGAACAACTCCCTCAGGACATTTAGGAAAAGACATACATGCATGCGTGTGAGTTTCTATGATAATAGAGTATTTGTCACCTGGGGTGATATTTTCAGAGCTCCGTACTGAAACAAAGCACGTAACGTCTATTTACCACTGCTGTGGGTGCTAAGGCTAATTGCCTCTCTTGAGTATTTCATCTGTTTGCTCATCAGATGCGTATTGTTACATACTAGAATATATTTACAAAATATGACTTAAGGTCAATGGCAGGTGGGCTCCTGGGAGTGTTCAGACCTCAGACCTGCAAATTTCTGCATTTTAAATAATAGACAGTATCAGTGTAAATGACATGCAAGCAGTATTAATTTCTACAGAGAAGGTTAACAGGTCTCAAGCTCTCTGTGTCCATGCTTAATGCACGCAGGTAGTCAAGGTGTAAGTGTGTGTGGATCTGAGGAGATAAGGCAAAGCAATAGCAATAGCAGATGCTGATGTGCTTAGCTATGCGGTCCCCTTAGATTGTGCTCCAGTAACCTGTAAGCCATGTAATGCTCATGTTAATGCCAGCTCTTTCTTTTCTGCCTTCCCTTTCTTATGATGTGGGAGTGCAGAAACCATTAACATTACCTTGTGTGGACACACGTAATGAACAATGCTTGGGGTTAAATCAGTAGTACAGCTGAAGAGATAACATAGTAATACAAAAAGAAGTGATCTGTCTGTATTCACAAGCACAATAGCTTTTCCTGGTTTTGCTGCAATCTCATGGAAACTTACTTTGTTATAAATCTCTCCCTAAATGACAGTGAAACCAGAGAGTTAGCTTGTTGGCAGGTCAGGAAGGGTGACTGCTTGTGCTTATCATATTGACAGACAGCATGTATGTTGTTGAAACCATCCAAACTACTGCGATTAGGAGCAGTTAGCGTATATGAATGCTGTGCCCAGCCTCAGAAGAGCTACGCACCAGGCTGCCCGCACTGCTCCTGCACTTGGCTTGTTGCAAAAGGATGTGTCCAGGGAGAGGGGATTATGGGCAGACCTGGCTTCCTAGAGAGGCTATATTTAAGAATAGGCAGGATTAACAAATTGCCTCTCCCCCTCCCATTGGTCCTATACATTCTAAAGAATTATATTCAGCCTGCTTGCCATTTGCCAGTTTTGATGGGAGAAGATTGCTCGTGGGCAATAACAGGCCCTGATAATGAGCTTCAGTGAAATAAAACACAGACTAGAAACTGAGTAAAGGATCCTTGTGGAGCCCTGATGTTCCAAGAAGCTGAAAGGAAACAGGGTCTGTTACCTTCCGTTATTCATTGTGAAGGACAGGTCTATCTCACAGCTTAAGAGATGCATGCTGCAAAGAAGAAAGCATGCAGTGGGAAATGAGCTGCTGCACTGATCCCCATCTACCCAGGTTGAATATCTGCAAAGCCAAGCAGTGAACAAGGCAGCAGTCCCGCTGAAGGGCAATGAGCTTATGAGTTGAGTCAGAAAAACAGGTAGTAAAGATGTCTCCAAATGTGAGAATGCTTTCTGTCTGTAAGCAGATATCTACGCGTATCTATTTAGGCACAGCTCCTGCAGGAGGATGATGAGAATGGTATCAGCCACTTATTCTCATTCATCACTGTCACTGGATTAGACCCAGTACAATAATGTTGCACGTACTCAAAACATTCTTGCCGTTACTGAACATCTTTTCCCACAGCAAAACAGCTGAGCAACTACCACTTTTCACACACAGGATTAATGCAGGAGAGAGAACCCCTTCACAGAAAATATTTCTCAGTCATCTGGGAGGAAGAGGCAATTCCTGGTTCTGTACTGACTGGTGAGTACTTTGGTGAAGGTGAAAGTTGCCAGCCCATGGACACAAATTGACCTCCCAGAATTCACCTTGCTCTGTTAGCAGTTTCGCTAACTGTGGGAATAAAGCTTAAACAGCTTTGAAAATTGAATTATCCTCTAAATCCTCTAAGGTAGTCCCTTCAGGTCAGTCATCAGGAAGATTGGCAGGGGATTGCAAGAAAATTTGTACTGCTTGCTTTGGCCTGTCTGGGGAAGGTTGTCAGATCAGCGCCTTTCACTAGCAGTTAATTCACCTACCTATCCTTTTTCTTTATTTATCGTTAAAAACCTTAGCTAACTCCATATGTACCCAGGCAGGGTGACATGCTAACCTCCTGGCTCAATTCTTATTCTGATAACTCTCACTGATGTTTTGAAGGGGCTTTGAGAAAGATGATGAAAGTAACCTGCTTTGAACTTGGGTTTGCGATAGCTCCCTGTTGAAAAACCGAACACAGGAAGAATATATCCTGCTTAATGTCACTACAAATAAGCACCTGAAATCTCGTTAACTGAGCCAATTATTACTGATTTGTTGTGAGACCCGTCACCATCTATTAGAACTCCTCAGACTGTTAATTTTATTTTAAAACAGTGCTGACCTTTAGGCCAGAATTTTTGCGCATCCGGAGACGACCCATCCACATGTCTGTGAGCAGCATTTGGCTGCAAGTGTGAGCAATGAAGTCCCTGTGCTTGGCTGCCACTGCGAGCTGCAGGCACGTGGCATTGCTCCAGTTCTTCAGCTCGTAGGTCAGCAGTTTCATTGCAAGTTGCTCGTCCTGCTTGTACGACTGGTCCAACAGCTCCACCGCCAACTGGCCAAAGTCCCTGCAACAGAGGGACATTTGATCATTCCCATTAGCCCAAGCAGCCCGCTGCAGAAAACACCCCTCTGCAACTGACAGCCTCTGCAAGGAGGGCATCACCTTCCATCATGCAAGTCGTGATGTTCACTGTACACATGGCAACCCACATTTTCAAAAGTGAGTGGCTAATGGCAGGCATATAAATAAGTGCCCCGATTTAGCAGTGATGAGCACCCACACCTACCAGCTGTCTGTTCCCACCTGCCTGCCCACCTCCCTGATATTTTCTAGCTGAAATCCTTTGGTTATCTGCAGCTTAGAGGATTGCTTCTGTGTTGTTTGTTCATGGCTTTGTGGTCAAGTCTCCTTGAAAAAGGAGTGTCCAATACCCTTTTTAAATTCTGTGTCTCAGACTTTTAACATCAGGAAAGATTATTATGGAATCTAGTATCTTGGCTTGCTCACCTAACTAAGCATGAGCTCTTGGTTACTTAACACTTCTGCCCGAATATTATGTTCATAAGGATTTCAACAATTGTTCTGCTTGGGATGAACAAAGTGTCTTGAAAAAGCACAGAGAAAGGTTGTAGCCTGAATTTTGAGGACTCAGGGAGAACACGTAGACAATACAGATATTTCATTGCCTTCTTGACACCTTCTCATTTCAGAAGTTATACTGCTAGCAGCTCTGCTTCTCTGACAGACAGATTGCCATTTAGACTTTCTCTAAAGGGACTGCATTTTTCGTATGAGTTAGAAATGAAGGCAAGGTACAGATAAGCAAATTTCAGGCAGGATCAGCAGCCTCCTTCCCTTCTTTTATTTTATTTTCCTTTTAGCCCAGGAAAGTGTATATGAAAGAAAATTCACCTGGAATTACGGTTCAGCTCTTGGGATATATCATCCACCATGTCGTTTTCTGATGCTTCATGGGCCATGGCTTTGCAGAGTTTACAGGCCACCAGTGCTTTAGCCATAGCCTCTTCCCCATGCTGCCAAAAGAAGAGGGCCATCTTCTGACGCTTCATCAGCACAGCCCACACCATCAGCTCATGGAATGGGAAGGGGAAATGATTGATTTCAGGGTCATCCAAATCAATATCAACTTCTTCTTCTCTTTTTTTTGTTGTTTTCCTCCCTTGCCGCAAAGGGACATCATCCTGTGAGAATTGTAGAGAAATTTTTTTCACCAGTGAAGGAACCAAATCAATTCACACAATGCACTAGAGTCAGTACCTGAGATGTCAAAAGCATTCACTGCAGGCCAGCCCCTTCAGCTTTTTTTGACAAAATATTTAGCACAGGAAATCGATGAAAAAACTATTGGTCCATGCACTGTAATTAAGAAACCAGTAACCCCATACCTAAACACAGGAAAAAAGAGCTTTGGACTATCACTCTAAACTGTTCTCTCTCCCTAAGAACACAGAGCACAATCACGCAATATCCAGAACCATTTTGGAAAAGCCACCATGAAAATAAAGCTAAGAGTTCACTCCAAAGATAACATCTATTGTAATGCAATGTAATGCATCCACCTCATTCCACCTCCAGAAAGTACATATCCAGGGGATGCTCTGGTCTGCTGAAGACTGCCTCCCTGCTTATTCTTGTGTTGCCTCCCTTCTCACAAGAGTAGGAATCGCCTTTCTTCACTCCCATTCTGCCTTTGTATCCCAGGTTTATCCCTTCTTTCTCCAGCTCTTTGTTGTTTCTATTGCCTTTAGTTTCTTCCCCATTTTAGCCTACTGCTTTAATCAGATGAGTTGACCTATTCTGTGCTGTGTCTGTGGACAGCAAAATGAAAGTTATATAAAATAAACAAACAAGAAAACACTACGATCTCCTTGAAGCATCAGGGTAGCCAAAAGTGTCGAGAAAACTGACAGAAATTCAGCCCATGTAAAGATTTCTGCATCGTTCTCCGCAACTGCTTAATTTCTCTGAACACGTTTTAAAGTTAGATACTTATCTGACTGAAATTCTGCTTAGCCTGACAGACTGAAACATTTTGTTTAATCTTCATGAAAGAAAAATGACACATGGAGGGTTGCAGAGGCTTCTTTCCTCTTGTCTATCCGCTAGAGTTTTATTAAGAAATGTTTCTTAATCTGGCCCTTGTGTAAACAAGTTATCTGGATGAAAAATACAGTTTCTGTGGCACATTTCTCATACAAAACTTGAAAACAGCTATTGGTGCCTTCATTACAGTGAATTTAAACATTATCTTATATAGCATATATTCGTCAAAGATGGAAAAGACATTAAGATTTATTACAGGTTGCCTACCTCCATTCCCAACAGTTTCAGGGCTTTAGGCTGTACAAAAAAGTTAGAAAAATGTTACTTCTCCCAGAATGGTGATGAAAAATTACAACTATATGTATATACATACATACATGTATGTGTAACGTGATGTATAACATATAATATAGAGAATATAATATAACATAACATAATATATAATACATGATAATACAAGATAATACAATATATATAATATATATGTAATGCAATGTAATGTAATATAATATACATATACATAAAAATAAAATAATTACATATATATATTTAATTCTACCTTGAGTTTGACCTTACTTCACCAAAACACACAACAGAAGACATACATTTGGATTCAGGTACAAATTACAGCTGGTTTGGGGGTATTCTAGTGGAAAAGAGATAGGAATTACTGCTAATGCATGAATGGATTTCTCTGGAGTACATGAGTATTTTGGCCATTCTCCCAGCACGCTTTCATTGACAGCTGTGGAGCTGCTTTGTATCGTTAGTTCAGTATCTGTGAAATTGCTGCTCCAAAGCTTTTCTTGATGGAGTGACAAAGGGAAAGAAGTGTCCCCCAGCAGCTACAATTACTACCTTTCCTCTCAAAAGTGAAGAATGAAAGTGTAGGACATTTTAGGTCTTTGTCTATAACTGTTTCCAGAGATGTTGCTCTTTATAACCACTGAGAACAACATTTAATAGTATGCATTGCTAAAATCTGAACTGAGACACGAAATGAAAATGTAAGGTAAAAAGAGGCAAAGAAAGAACTACAAATCTTACTGCAAGCAGCTGAGCAGATTTTTCTTCATGCTGGACTGGGTCAGTGGCATTATGGATGACAATATATGTCTTTTATGTTTTAGAAAGGTAGTAAGCCTACTTTGGATTCACAGTGTTGTAATATATCAAATGTGAAAACCTCAAAAATACTGAACAGTGTTTTTGCCATGAGCCCACTGACTCTGATGGAGCCATGTCCAGCCAATAAAGCCAATTCTGAGTTATGGGTTTCTTTGCCCTGCTATCTTCAGGCCGCAATCAAGAAGATGAGCCACGTGATAGGAAATGCGTGAATCAAAACACAAGTTTTTTTCAAGTCTAACTCAGGTGCCCTATGGTATTATTGGTACAGATCAAAAGACTTGTCTTTCAAAAGCTGTGGTTACTCATAATTACAGATTTTAGAGCCAGAGGAGACTGTCTTGGTCTCACCAGGGCAGCAGAACCCAATATTTTTTTTCATCAAATTAATAAAAAATGTAGCTTGTATCAGTGGCTGGTTTGTGGTGCTTTGTGGTGAAATAGCTGCTATGTACACAATGGAAATGAATCTGTAGACCGAATAGTGTGGGCATGTGGATCGTCCCAGCCTGGAACCAACTAAGAAGCTAGTTGGTAGGCTGGTAATGCCTGCCAGTGTGTGCAGCCATAGAGATGGCAAATAACTCGCTCCTTACCCTCTTGGGCCCAAATAAATTGTGGTACAGTGTTCTGAACCGTTTTCGGGTGTAATTGCAGCGATATGCTCCTCCCATCAGGTACTCTATCACCAAACCAATATCAATCAGACTTATCCGATAATCAGGAGGTAAGTTTCCCTGTGATGAAAATAAGGAGGATGGTGCGAGAGGAAGAAATGCTTATTACTGGCATTGTTAAATATACTCTATAATGATGTTAGAATAAAACAAATTAAATAGTTAAAAACAGGAATGTATTATTATGCTGGTTAATTAATTCACCTTAAAATAGATCCAACCGAAACCTGGATATTCTCGCTTGGAAAGAAGACATAAGTTAAATAAGAAGGTGAAGAACTTGTTGGAAGTAACAGAAGATAACATCAGTACACAGTACTCGTATTCTTCAGCTGAGGAAACAAGGAACACGACTGCAGAACAAAAAGCATGAGGATCAGCACACTTGAAAGGTCAGGCACAGTTGCTGGGCTCTAGTCCTGCAGCACCTTTTCTGCACCATCTGTCCCCCACAACTCTTGTCCTGGCATCTCATGTCTCTGCTGGCATCTCTTTGGACCAGCCTCATCTGCACTGCCAAGGCATGGTGAACCACCTCCTGCATGTGATCTTCCCATCCTACGGTGTCTCCTTCTCATGTTCCAGGAAAGGAAGGGCAGGGGGGAAAGAGCTGTGTTATCTACACTGGAGGACTTACACAGTGCATGCGTTGTTACTAGTGCTAGTTGCTAGAGGCAAGGAGAGTCTGCTAGTATTTGTTCTTGGGGTTGTGTACAAACACACACATAACTTTGCTTAACTTCCACACCTAGTACGAGGAAACCATCTGTATGTATGAAAGTAAGTATGAAAATTGTAATAAACCAAATATCTGTGGCTAATTCTTTGGGGTTTTCTTCAAGAAGAAAACTACAGGCCTAGCAATTTTCCTAGATGGTCCCTCCTTGAACTCCCAACATATTTTAGTGAAAGTCCCTCTAATAGAGCCCAGTAATCTTGCTACCTAATTTCCAGCAGTGCCAGGGAGATTGTGTCCCAAGAGGTGAACTGTGCTTGTGGCAAGGGTCATTAGCAGGATCCTGGAAAAGACATCTACATACCTGCTCTTTGTGTCTTTACCTTTCTTATTCTCTGTTAAATATGACATATATATATATACAATGTCTTCAGCATGCACCTTTTATTTTGAAGGGAAAAAGAATAATAAATATGTCCATGCCTTATTGCCCTCACATTGTGAACTTCCTTGCACATATCCTCCTTTTCACTGTCAAGCCTGAAAACAGCAACACTAAGGTTATGAGTTCTCCAATACTCATGGCTTGCAAAGCAATGAAGAAAGATCTCAGTAACAGATTGTCTCTTACTGCACAAGGATCTGAGTCTGCCTTTTAGTTAACTGGGCATTTCCATTCTTCAGTAGCAGGAAGCCTGATGTGACACCGAGCAGGCCAGAACAGTTTCAGGGTGGGCTGGTCTCATGGACGTGCTGGTGAAGTGCTCTTGGGGGTCTCTGGTGATGGAAGAACAAAACCCTGGTGGAGGCACATCTGCTCTTCTGTTCACCCCGGGGAAGTCCCCAGGGAAAGCTCTGATGCCTTTACAGGAGGAAAGGACTAATGGGAAGGGAATGCCCCCAAATGAAAGTTTGCCTCCTTCTCTAAATTGCTGCCTCTGAATTGTTCGGACGACAGTTCATGGTTCAGTAAGCAGTTGCCTACCAGAAAAGAAGGCATGATTCAGCAAATTCTGAAAAGGTCACCCAGATCTAGAGATCTCACTAATAACCCTCCAGATTTACAGAACCGTCTCTCCTGTAGGTCATTATGCAAGAGATGTGACTACAAATTAAAGGTAAAAGAGAGGTATACTTCTGTGAACTGTGAGCAGTAGCCTTGGAAAAAGAGAAAAATACTCTAGCAAAAAATTAACTTGTATAGTCAACATTACAGAAAGACCAGGAAATTCTAATTGTTAACTTCAAACTTTTTCAGTGTGCTGTAATGAAATAATCACATTTTCTATAATGATATACAGAACAAATTACAGTTAGCCTGTAGCTCTTTTTATGTGGTCATCAAAAGAAGGTTAGTAATTCACATGGAGCAATTTTATGACTCCATGGCTTGCTGGAAATATCTGCATGTCTGCAGATATCTGCCTGGCTTCTCTGCAGATATGTTTATTAAATTCAGAGCAGAGAAACACTAATGGAGAGCAGATGGCAACTGGTTCTGCAGAAGAGATTAAATGGATGCGAAGATCCTCCTTCCTCTTCTACTTCAGCTGGGAAGAGCAATGCTTATTTCCCTCCCTGCTCACCATGGTGCGAACAGCATGCTGAAAGGTTGAGGAAGGAGAGAGGGGCATAGTGCCGTGCCTAGCAATGGGCTGGTATTCAAAGGCACAGAAGATCAAGCAAATTTAGTGGCAAAAGGTGAGCTGCCAACTATCTTTCAGTAACGTCCCTTGGCATACCCTTTTGCACTCTTCCTAATCTTGGCTAATCTGATGGGCAGGGAAGTCACTATGGTTTGCAGGGACGCATACTAGCTTAGTTTATTTGAGCCCAGTACTTTTTATTCTGAGCTGTTTAAAGAAAAATAATATAAATCTAAAAATTATATCTTGCTAGGTTTTTCATTTGTTTGTTTTTTTTCCACAAAATGTTCTTCTCTCTCCAGGATGCTTAAAGCAATGACAGTTTTACTAGAACAAGGATGAAGGCACTGGCAGAAGTGGGAGTTGTAGCTCCAAGACAGAGCTGTAGTGCTTCAACAGACTCCTGCTGTCTTAATGTTAAGACACTGAAACTGAATGCTTTGATATTATTAAGTGGTGAAAAATAGTTGAGCAATTAAAAAAGCACAACAGGCATCAGGGTGCTGCATGTGTTAGAAAGCCTGAGTTTCTTGATACAGTTCTTCTCATTTCCAGAAATTTCATACATGAATTTAGATAAAAAATTTCCAATAGCATAACTTTAATAAAAGACAGATCTAAACCTGCCAGTTAAAGTTGAAACATTTTACTGAAGAAAACTCACACATTCACAGCAGAAATACACATTTTATAGACATACGCATATGTATGGCTCCACGCTAACACATGATTACTTTTCCAAAGTGAGCAGCCCTGGTAAAACCAATTGGACCACCCTTGTGAGAGGAGTTACACATGTGCCAAATCATCTGCTGTATCAGCAGACACCTTGAACTACCCTGGCAGTGGTGTCCGCTTCTAAATGAAGGACAGTGGTGCAAGTGGGCCAGAACCGCTCCAAGAACAAGAAAAATGTGGATGGGCTAATTCTAGTACCGCCAACGTGGTCAGGATGACAGAGGACAGGGTTTGATTTTTGGGTATGGTAGGTACCCTGGTTAATAATCAACTAAACTTTTAATGTTGGGACAAGCTCTTCAGTGCTAATGCATTATTCTTTTCCTGAAGAAACTTCAACTTTAAACTGTAGCTAATCAATTATAGCATTTTTTCACTTCAAGTGCATTTCTGTATTCAGCAGATATGAAGCCTTTGATTTTGCATGCTGAGGAAAAAATAATACTTTCAAAATTCTGTATAGTGCTTGTTAGTTCTCTGGAAATGTAGACATACAGTGGCAAACCAAAATAAAGAACTTTGGAAACTTAGATCATGCCACGGTGGGATTAAGTTATATTTACTACATACAATTTTTGGATTAAAGAAAAAATTAATCTGTTAACTTTCTACTTATCTAGTTGAGCCAGGGAAGGTTTTTTAAAAACAACCTGTAGAGGGCAACCTCCACTTACAGACAGGATGTCAAGCACGGGCACTGTTTCTTCCTGCTTAGTCCGGATGCATCGGTTTGTAGGTTCTAGGGAAAGGAGTCAACCCATTTGTGTTAAATTCTGTACCCTCGACAGGAGATGTCAAAAAGGCCATGACGCAAACGATGCAGGCAGATTTGTCCCCAAATGTAGTTATGGAGCTGAGAGGATCAAAAAGCGAGAGGAGCACAGTTGTCTCTAAAGCAGAGTCATTAAGTACTTTGTCTTGTTATATATGCAGAATTTAAGCCTGCTCTGATTGCTGTAAATTCTTTAAGACTGTGTCTCCAGGCCTTTACAATATGCCGCCCAGGCTAACAGTCTTCACAGCGATATTTGGAAATCCAAAGAGAAAAGAAATTGTTGTCTTATATGTTCGTGCGTGCGTGCGTGTGTGTTGAGCATACGCATGTGCACATGCGTGTCTGTAAGCTGCCACAAAACAGGACGTGGTAATGTGACTTCTGTTGCTCAAATTTTTTGCTTTCTTAAGCAGGCAGGGTGGTCTTCCAAACAAAAGAACCCCTCCTAGTCAATTATACAGCTATGTAATACAATAGTAGTAAATTAAATAATGCTTCTATGATTTGTCAGCATCCATTTTCTATTTGAGAATTCACAGTGATGCAGATGTAAACAACTTTTTATAGCACACACCCTTTTAAATAATGCAGGTCTTAAAATCAGGATGTATGCGTAAAAAGCACAGAGTATGCATATCCTCTAAGTGTTGTCTCAAGGTGACATACTAGATTTTTTTCTGTTCATATTTTGCGATACTGTAATTAAATCTGATAAGTCTGGCATCAAAATATACATAAACTCAAAAAACTAGCATCAGCAGTGTGGTCTGGTTTTCATGCACGGTGGGCCACTTAACTGTCATATAGTGATGTCCATTGAGAAGTTATTTCCAAGGAGGTGTTTTCATTTAAATTGTTGTCAGATCTGATGACTGATTTACAGCTTGGTTGATGGGCAAGGGATCTGCTCAGATGGCAGGCCTATGGCGAGCTGTCACTTTTCTCTCAGTGAACCATGGTTGTTCCTCATTACTGACAAAATGAGAAACACAGCCCCCAAGGTGCAGTTTTCTGATGAAGGTGCTAGAGGGTTGCACCAGGTTGCTTGTTTTTGAAGCGCTTAACTGTATTCTAATAAGAGCACACATTGACTTCACACAGTGGGAATTACTGGAGACTTTAGATACAGATGGAGGAAAGAAAGATGATGGGAAAATGACCATCACCTAATGTTTAGCAATCACCATGGAACAAATAATTTCATTAAATATAGTGTAAGTTTATTTAATGACAATGTCTATCAATATATACCTGTGAGTACTGATCATCTTTGCCTACTTTGATGCTTTTTTTTTTCAAAACCTCATTTAAAAATACATCTTTGGCTAGTGACTCAGAAAAAGATATTGATCTTATTTAGTCACTCAACATAAAAATTGCTATGCCTTCGAAGGAGGACTTGGAAAGGTGATGCTGGGGGAGCTAAGGAGTTTGAAAAGGAATATATTTTGAAGTAAGAAGATAGATGATGCTTGTTTCAAACTTTTATAGGCACATAAATAACTCCATATTTAGGAAACAAAATGTTCTGGTAACTTGTGCTTCAAGAGAAGCAGCCAGTCGAAATGCATTCCAGGTTTACTCTGCTCCATCCAAGGGGATTTGTGCATAAGAACATTTTCAGTTTTTTCTGTAGGCATTTCACACTTTCCCATGGTCACTTAGAATACTATATATAATTGAACAATGATGATGCCATGTAACATGCTAACCAAAGAAAACCACCAGAACCTCCCTAAACATAGCTACTGACTATTCTGAAGTGTTGCTTAACAGAAAGATGATATATGAAGCATTGCCACTCTCCTCTCCTAGTTGCTTTTGGTTCTACTCAGCTGTCAGTGACAGAAGAAACCACCAAAACCAGTGCTTTTACAAAAAATCTCTGTTCCTTTTCCAATCTTCTGTCTAGTCCCAGGTACAGAAATCTCCTTTCCCAAGTATGCTGCCCTTGAGGTCCAACTTAGGTAATGTGCAAGGCTGTAATCTGCACATGCTTTGGGAGAATGTTCAAGGCAATGAGGTCAATTGCAGACTCAATTTCTTTACTTGATCGATATATTTAGAGGATAAGGGATTTTTATTCATTGCTGCTGCTGTAACAGTTTTAATACTGAACACATTGCTAAAGGTATTTGGTATCTCCTTCCTGTCACTATACCTTTCTGTGTTTCTGTCTTGACCTCCTAATGGCTCTTTATAATTCCAGATGCTTGAAATTAACTTGATAAGGGGACAGGGGAAAAGTTGCGCTACTTCTCTTTGTACATTTCTGCTGACGAAGATGGCTACAATACACCACACAACACAGAACAAGAAACTGTTTCAGCAAACTGGGATCCAGGACAAGGGCTATATTATAGGCTTGGAAGTAAACTAACAAACGGAAATTAGCTTGGACAATAGTTGCAGGTGTGGAAAAATACAGATAACATCATAAATCTACACGGTATGTAAGAGCCTACAATTATGCTAGCAGAAGCACTATTACCCAAGCATCTAAAACCACAGAGAAAGCAAGCCAAATAACTTGCTAATTGTGCTTTGTATGCAAAAAGTTCATATTCAGTACATACAAACAGGACATTCTATAATGGCAGGGGAAGGAGAAGGCTCTGATTGAAAGCTCATGCAAAACAAAGATTGTATCTAGCTACAAAAAAAGCAATCATAGCATTATCTCCAACCTACCGTCTATTGGACTCTCACCTTTTTGACGTCCCTGACTAGATGATACAGAGTATTGGATGGTCCATGTCTCTGCAAAGGACAAATAAAGAAGAATAAAATAGTTTTGCATTGTCCAAAGACCTGCAAGATGTAAATGCTGAAATGGCTTTCTCACTTTAGAAGTTTAAAAATCAGGCAACTGAGAGCACTTCACCTGTACAGTGTTACCAATTGAAAAACATAAAATCAATTGCAAGAGCATTATTTCACCTGGCTTCTCTTTTGTACAAAACAGTAAGTAAACCACAAGATCTTCCATACTGGGTGAAAACTAAGGTCTTATATACCAGATTAGGCTCCTGGCTTAGGCAAAGCAGGAGCCCAGCACAACATGCACATGCTCTGGGAGAGAGTGGAAAGAAAAACAGCTGCTGAAGTGTCAGCCTTCCTGCACTCAGGATCTCCACTTCCACTGTTGGCGGCTCAGATATCACAATAAATTTGTTCACAATAAATTTGCTCTCAATAAATCTGTTCAAAAAGGCCTTTTTTTAGCTGTAGAACTGAAGACCTCCCTCAAACACACTCCCTGTAAAAACTGGCTTTGGTACAAGAACTACATTGCTTATCTCCGTAGCAAGAAAGCTCATAGGCTTTCTGTTTTTAATACAGGGATACTAGTTGATAGGCAAAGTCTAACCCATCAAAGATCAGATGGGAATCCGTCTCAAGGGTGGCATGGATACCTGTTCCTCTATATTTTGCACAAATTTAATATATTCTTTTCATATTTGATATTTTTGAAAGACTGACTTCTGGTCAACATCAGTGTGAAACATCTCTGGATAACAGCGCAGTGTGGCAGTTTATGATGGCAGGGCTTTGAAAAGTACTGGCAGAAAAAAGCATTTTGAAAAGGACTATGCACTGTGTCACAACCTCTCTCCAACAGACAGAGCTAGAAATCCTGAGAACTAGACAATGCTTTAAGATTTTTTCCATACCGCTTAAAGAATTTGAACTTACTGGTTTCTCTCAGTAGGCAATAATGATGTGAATGCTGGAATGTGCTTTGCAGTTGAGAACTCAGAAGCAATTTGAACCGGTGCAGTTTTACGTTCATTTTAAGGGCAAAGATATGAAACTTGCAAAAAGGCTTTTAAAAGTCAAAACTATAATTTTTGGAACACTCGGTGATGACATGGGGAAGTCCTTTACTGTAACAGACCTCCTGAAATCATCAGCATATTTAAATGCAGAATATTACCCCAAGAAGTTTGTTTCTATTTGTTTTCTAGCGGTTGAGTTTGATTAACAGTTGTGAGATTTTTCTGAAACCATAAGGACTTCTACTGTCAGGAGTCATATATCACCATCCTCCAGGTCCTAACTTGCCAGTTACTGTCTTCTAGCCAGTGCCATCTGCCTAAATCTCAGGTCTATCATATTGGAATTACAATGACCAGAAATCAGCTGGTGCTGTGTGGGTCCTAATCCATGTCTTACAAAATCCTTACAGCAGATTAGGTGGGCAAGACACAGTGTGTTTCATTATATGAGAGAAAAAGCTAAAAGACAACGTGGAATTCTAACATGGAAAATTTCTGCAGCAGGTGTTGGCTGCCTTCTTCATCATCATGTCGTCATAACACGAGTGGGAGGTAGAACAATGAATATATAGAGAGAAAATTTGCCTTAGGCTGGCCCTACCGTATTGTACAATTCCTCTAGCCGGGAGATGGTGAGAAAACGATGCATGCTTACTCCATTTTCTATGAGTAATTTCACAAAATCCACTCTGTCCAACACCAGTGCATCCAGCATTGCTTGCTCAAGGGAGCCCACCTGCAAAGCAAACAATTAATTCAGGCTGTTCCTGAGCATTGTAGGCTGTATCTGGCTGGTCTGGTCACCCTGGCACAAGCAGGGAATCCTGACAAAATTCTGAGGGTTGCTCTGCTAAGCTTAAAATGGAATACTAACAGTTTTAGCCTGTATCGGTTTCTCTGATTCAGGGCAGCATTTAAAAAATGAGTGTCAATGCATTAAGATTAACATACTCTAGGAAATCCGGATGAAGATTGAGGAACTGGAGCTCAGGACTGGTAACGACACTCCACACTATCCGTCACCTCATTATTATCTTTATTTCTTGTTTTCCTGACAAGCATTTTATTTATGTTGGGTATATTTGTTATGTGGATATACACTCACTTTAATTCTGTCTTTACTAGTTTTTTCTTCTGTTCATGGTGTGGGAACTCAGGGGAACTTTGACACCCAGGAAGCAGAAAGAGCTTCACAATTAGCACTTCTTTGAAGGGCCAAATGCAAGAGGTCTTCTTATGCAAAACCTCTCCATTTCTATCTTGTGCAGGTTGGGGGGAGTTAGAAGGATGAGAAATTATCTCATACTTCTAGGTTTTAGTTTGGAAAATGATTGCAGCCTGCAGCATTTATGCAAATTTTTGCTATGATGTGGTGATGGAGCAATAATGATAAGGACAGTTTAGTACCATTAAAATCGCTCCAATGTTTTGATGCATACTTACGACCAACATTGAAGACAAGATAAATAGTCCTGTTCACTCCATAACCAAAAAGGCAAGGATTTTAGAAACTAGCGTTAAGGGGCAGTGAGCTCCAGAAACTACATTTAAAGCAAGGATATTTAAACAGAAGCTTTTCCTTTTGTTGTATTTTTTCCATAGGGAGTTGTAAATGCTCATGCAATGATCACATATGAAATTTTCATGACGGTGACAAAACAAGTGTCACAGTAATGAGTATTGTGATCCAATTAAACCTTACAAATGAAAATATAGTGGGCTTTAAGGAGCTACTGGTAGAGACGGAGTCCTTTCTGGGTGTCTTCTACCACTGTAAAAACTGCAGCACAGGTTGGGAGTTGACTACTCCTCCTCTGCCCCACACAGCATTCCATAACCCCTCTGTTTACAGCCCTCCCACTCCTGCTGAGAAGCTCTGCCCACGGTGTTGGCCGGGGAGCCAGTCCCCACAGCTGGCAGCTGGAGCACACGACGGGGCAGGCATGAAGCAAGCAGATTGATGCAGAGCAGCACTGGGCATGAAATTAATGGCTCAGGTTTGGAGCCGCAGCACTTCTGTGGTAGCATCGCTGATCGCTCTTGTGGTCCACTCAATGACCTCCCAACATTTGTGCAGCAGATTTTTGATGCCCCATCATCATCCAATTCAGTATTTGTGTATAAAAGCGTACTGCTTGAAAAGCAAAAAGAAGTTTTGCCTTTAATTTATAGCCTAACAGTGTAAGATAGCTGTAAACAGATACTTGCTTTTCTCAGCTTGCAGAATCGTTGCCTGATAGTATAAACGTGTGGCTTCCCGTTTGGTTAAAGGTGTGGTCTCTCACTGTTAAGGCATCGCTAGATGTCACCATTTCCTTGAACACACGAACGTATTAACATCTTTGTAACCGTGCCTGCCCTCAGTAGCTGTGAACGGGGACTTTGGGTTTGGCTGGGAGCATGAGTCAGTATATTTTAAACTGTTAAAACCACCACTGCCAACAGAACAGTCTTAATGTTGTGTAGGGTTTAAAGTGTTTTCAGTAGAAGATGCTGTATGTATACTGTACCGGCCACTGTTGCCCGTAAATAAAGATCTGACTGCGGGCGATGTCTACTCTGTTCCAGGCTAATGCTAGGCTCAGCTGGTCGGGAGCAGATGCATTAGCTCCTGTGTACACAGACAGGGGTGCAGGGAGGAGAGGAGGAGAAAAAAGAAACAAGACATATTTTAGACTCAGTCAACAGACCACTGTGGCAATTCCCCTTTGTCAAAAGTCTCACAGATGTCCATGTCATTTCGGCAAGTGATCCGACATAAAAACAAAACCAAGCCTTCCATTGTCCCTGTAATAAAATAGTGGTTCTCAAATCTGAATCTATGGTTTTCAGACTAATTATTTCCTCACATCCCCCTTGAAAAATACAGTAGGTACACATGATACTGGCAGATGCAACTTGCAGTGGAATGAACTGAATTCCCTCCTGACGGATGGGAAACCAGAGCAGGAGCCAGGAGCGATCCTGATCTAGCTGCAGGAATATGCACACACATGTGCAGACAAGTGCGCAGGCACACACACACGCACACAAACACACGCGCACACACACATGGGGACACACACACACACACACACACACAAGCATCTAGCAATTACAAACATGTTCAACTCACGCAGACCCCACCAGTTTCAATAGTCGTGCATTTGACACACATCTTTTATGAATTCCCACCTGGTAAGGTGGGGATCCTGTACAAGCATACCTCGAAGATCTCCAGAGTATCTCCTCTATGTATTTGTACTGATGGGTCTTGGTGGGACAAATTTCCCTTCACACATGCAATATTCATGTGAGAAAGCATGCTGTAAAGCTGGTGTCAAGGTATAATTTATCCAAATTAAACAAGAAACTATGCAGATAGTTTCTTATAGGGTTTGGAGCTGTTTGTTTTTTGGAAGTGAGAGTATGTTTTTCCCTGTAGTTTTAATGGAAGCTATGGGACATTCCTGCCCTGCTGTGCTTCTTTAATATTTCACTAAGGATTTCACGGTTATTAGCTAATTTGTAATAGTAAAACAGTATTTGCATTTCAGTGTCACAGGGAGAAATGGCCTGAATGAACGGATCAACCAAATAAATAAAGGACCCTTTGCCTTTTAACTGCATAGCTGCTTGCAGTGGTTAGATGATTGTATAAAGGTTCATTTTTTAAAAGCCTCATACCTCCACTGTTTTCTTGTCTCTATTAATTCTCATACTAATATCATGGAGTGAGGACAAATAAAATCTTTTCATTACTTCAAACCATTTTGTCCCCATTTCAATAGTCTTATTTCATAACTCTCAATTTTGCAGTCAGTTCACTGCCGTGAAACTTTGTCAAATATTTGGGAATATCTACAGCAATTATTTGGGAGATGGTGGACTGTAGATCATCCAGATCACTTTAATTTTATTACGGAGTGAGCTCTGATAAAAAGGTAGGTGATGCAGGGGCAGAACGATAGAAAGAAACGAAGAAGGAAAAACAGTGAAAACAGTAAAAGACCTTTCTGTGACTAAGGAGCAACGGGAGCACCCCTTTGCCTAAGACACAGCTTCTCATTGCTATATACTATGACAGAGACAAAAGCTCTCAGAGGACACCTCCTGGGGGATGCCAACAGCATCTGAACCTTTCTGAGTTTCTTAGACAAGCAACATGCAACATTCAAGAACAGAAAATATTTACCTTTGGGAAGGGTAAAAATGTCTCTACAGTTCTACTCATAAAAACAGAAAAAATCCTACCTACACAGTGGGTATGACAGTGTAAATTAAGTACAGAGAGCAAATAATGTTCTCTCCCTTTCTGAAGCAAAAAACAGATCCTCCCAAAATGTCATTGGATCTCCTCCTTCCCATCCGTGTGCCTGCAGGAGAAGCGGGAGCTTCGGCAGGTGCTCAGCAAACTGTCTGGTGAGCAGTGGAAGAGGCACATAGGTGAACTCCAAAACCCAGGGGCAGTGATGGGGATCCCACAGCCTGGCATCATTTTGCACCTGCGATGGGGGAGCTCAACCTCCTGGTTTAGGAAAATAAACTGTCTGCAGCCTACAGTCTGGGTAGCCAGGAGTGCAGCCTGGTTAGAAACCATTTTGGATCAAGAGTAGATCAGATGGACTTGTTAACGAATTACTTGGGGAAGGAAGCAGCCTACTTACACTGCCCCACTTCAGCCAAAACTCAAGCCAAATCACAGAGGCTCCAGGCGAACACCTTGTGAGCCCTAGCAGGCAGCCGTCCCCCGTTTGTGCTGAGTGGCCTAGCACTCCTGGGCCTTTTCGTGCTTTAGGAAGGACCTAAACCCTGGATGAACACAGGGCCTTCTGGTGCATCAGATCATGTGAAAGAGCAACTTGCATGGGGCATGAAGTGGTGGCTGCACCTCCAGAAAGGCCCCCAAGCCCAGCAGTTCACCAGAATTGTTTTCTTTGAGCATGCTTACTGCTCCAAATGCTGAGCAGAGAGGAAAGCAAGCCATGGTCCAGCCTCTGTCCCTCCATCGTGTTTAAGGCTGCCAGCAGTGGACAAGTTTTCCTGTGGGTGCATATGCAGTCCCAGAGATGATGCCCTTCTCAGTGCTTGTTACTATAACAGTTCATTTTATTGTCTCACAGAGTGCTGCAGACATTTGGCAGTTGAACAAAATGCATGGTTTCTCAAGGGGTTTTTGTACTTCAGGTCCAAACCAGTCCATCAGCTAGGGTGTAGACTGGGCAGTACAGATCTGCATGCTGGGGGTCTGATGCACATCATGGGGTGGCTGCTCCCAGAGCGAGGTTGCTGGAAAGCCCTTGCACCCTTCTCCTCTTTCCTGTCTTCACTATGTGGTTTTCCAGTGAATGTGGGTTACACTGGCATTACATAAGAGGAGAAGGAAAAGAAAAGCTGTAAAAGTTTGTACAGAGCAGCATATGGGCTGTGGACACTGCTTAATCAATTTTATTCCAGGATGGACTAATCACTTTTGACTCAAATGAAAAAGAAAGTATTCAGGATATTTCAGGTGGAATTAATAAGTAAAAATAATTCCACTAATATAAGAAAAACTCCCTAGAACAAATGTGAGGTGGTCTTTCTTAAGATGCTGTCTCCTTTCAGTCATATCCTTGATTGAATTTGATGCCACAGAGCAAGGATTTGAGTCAGTAAAAAGAATCCAAAATGTGACCTCCCTGAGGACTCATCTCGCTCATGAGCATCACTGCAATGTACCCAACTCAAAGCCAAAGGATATCTGGGAAATGAAAAAATAAGGCAGAGTTCATAACTGCTCTCATCAACTCAATACAGTGGAAACACTTCTTAGGCCCTTAATACTGTCAGTGGTGAGAAATTAGCATTTCCTCTCCCTGCATTTCTGTTTCATCCCATCTCATGGAAAGGTTCTTGTTTAGTTGCATTGTATTATTTTAATAGTGTAGTATACTTACTGCTTTAAATAGTGTTTTAGGCAGTATGACTAATGTCTATGTAATATTTACTTAGTATTCTGGTGTCTGGGTGAGCATAAGATATGTTCCTCAAAAGAATGTTTTAAGACAATATGACTAATGTCTGCAGTGGGACTCTTCCTTCCCTTCATCTGCTCCTAGAAGAAAAGTTGCATTTGGGAATGCAATGCATTGATTTGGCAGTATTTTATTTCAGTATAGATATTGCTGGATATAGATAGACAATGCAAGGATGGTGCAAAGTTGAATGAACAAGAAGGAGGTCTGGGACAGCTGTTAGTTCCTGCAAGCGTTAGTTTTATGCTCTTAGGTGGCCATCCAGGAGTGCTTGGATATCTTGCATTGATTCTTCTGGTAAAAAGTCAGATGGTCTATCCAACATCTTGGACCAAAAATGCAATACTCCTTGATGGTAGAGCCTGGGACCATACACTTGGCTCCATCCTAGGTGAGCCAGGGTACATGTCATACAATGAGTGTTGTGCCCTTGCAGGTTCCCAGATTACTGAAAAGGTAGACTACAGGCTTTTACATACTGGCTAAAGTTTACTGTGATCAATGTAAACCTCTAAAGGATTCTCCTGGGAAAGTCCAGGATACTTAGAGCTCAGGAATCTGGAAAACTAAAATGACACAAACCTGATCTATCTAGACAGAAATAGCTGTTGGAGACTCCTTTTCACAGTGCTTCTAAGCATGTCAGTGTCCTCTTTGAATCATCATTTAAAGAAAAGAATTAGATTAGGGAAAATAGCAATCCAAATTAACTTTCTGCTCTGCATCTCAGCAGGTTTTATGTTGTCTTCTGTTTCAGCAGCTCTTTGGTGAAAAGGCTGCGTTTCCACTGCATTTGCTACAAACATCTTCCTGGCATTTAGCAAATCAAATTACAATAACAAAGCTGATAGCAACAACAACTATAAGAGCAGTAACCAGATATCTGGCCTAACTCTGAAATCCTTCTGTGTCAGTGATTTCATGGTTGGCAGACCATCACAGTGTCTTCCAGGACCATCTGATACTACGTGATGGCTTTCAGTGAGCATGAATCATGACTTATTCACAGGCTGGAAAGTAGAGACATCAGATCTGCATTAGCCTAACATGGCTTATCTCAGAGGGTCACACGGCGGTAATATCACAATATGCGTATACCACACAGCACCTCTTTCCCAAAGCTAACAATTGCACTGGGAAGGCTTCTGGAGCACCAGCTGAAACATGGCTGGTGCTGCTAGTATGCTCCAGACATTGCAACAGCTTCGTGAACTAGGATCTTTGATGCCACTTCAAAACAATTATATTTTAGAACATCTCCATATGCTGTCTTTAACTTCCCTGTCATATGCCTTCTGCTCAGTTAGCAGCTGCAAAAGGACAAAATCCATTACTGTGTGAGTTCCAACTGTTCAAGTTAAAGAGAGCACAGTTAAACCGTATCAATAAATTTACTTGCTACAAATTCATGCAATTGGAAACTTACTTCCCACATTTGCATGTCTCTAAATTAAAAAAGAAAAAAGAATTCACAAGCCATATGCTGTTGTGACATCTATGCGATGTAAATTGATAACCAGTTTGGATGCCATTCCCTAGTTTATGGGAGATCACTTCCAAGAAAGATAGATCTGCTGACAAGATTAAACAAGTGACTCATGAAAACAAACAAGGAAATAATCTCTCATAGTCAGTGCATGGTTTGGGGCTTGTAGACTATCCTCAGGATAGTTCCTGCGTTGGTGGTGCACCTGATGTGGATTTGAAAAGAGACCAGCTCATCGCAAGTCTTACACAGCAAGCAGGAAATGACACCGTGTTTCCCAAACCTCGTTCTCCTACTCTCTGAACAAATAACTCACACCATGGTGGGGCCGGTAATTAGGTGGTGTGCACCTTGAATACTGGCTAGCAAGGACTGCAAAATCCTTATCAGTGAGACTGAGAAAAAGTAACCAATGACTCACCAATTTCATACTTTCCTTTGCCCCCTTTTCAGACAGTGCTGAAGAGGTGAAAGAGTTTTGATTCCTGAATCTAAACTTATGAATTTCAAGGTAATTCAGACCCAGTCTTCAAATCTGCTTAGTAAATCAACAGACAAGTGATTCAGCATTGTTACCTCAGATTTCTTGATTTGATGAAAAGCCCAACTATCCATCAGCCTGATGGGGTACATTTACAGAAAGGCAGCATTTCTTTTAGGGTGGGCCAGGACCTTTGTACAAAGACATGGTATGAATAAGGACAACTGACTTGCCTGAGACAAGTGTTCTCATCTTTGCACGCATTGATTAAAAAGTTATATGGACTTCCGTTCCCTGTGATCAGAAAGCTCAGAGTAACAAGAGGCATCTGATTAATCTTCACTGAGTACCTTCATGATCAGAAAATACTGATGAGCAAGCAAGATGAAGTGTAAGTTTTAGTTCCTTTGGTTGTTGAGCAAGACACAAGTGCTGCTGCCATGAGCAGATTACCAAATCAAGATTGTCAGCCAAGCATGAAAGGAGATGTCAAACTTACACAGATCCAGGCACCTTCCGAGCTAACAGAAGTTCACTACTATGTCTTGCACTACTGTTATGAAGAGGGGAGGTAATTTTATTTTACTAAGGAACGACAGGGCCAATTAGCCACTTGCAAAATGGTTATTCCAGATTGGAGAGGACTACTCATATACCCAGACTGCAACCATAGTACAGTTGGTCATGTAAATACTTCAAAAGAACTTTTGAAACAGAAAACAATCCCTCACAGGCCTATGATTTATTTTCTTCAGCTTCCAAGAGGCAGCTTTCAAGGTGGTAAAAGACTCCAGGGATCTATGTTGGGATTCAAACCTTGAAAATATACCTAGAAAAAGTGGAATCACAACCTTAGGACAATCTGTATCTTACTAACAGAAATCAAGAGCAGTAGTTTCAGTGATTGTCTTAAGAACAAATGTGAAAAGAATACACTTTACACTGAAGATAATGAAGGATTCAGATATATTTAAGATAAAAATGAAATCTGTAATCAAAATACTTCCTAAGGATAGAAAAGAGGAATTTGGTGATGAATGCAATTCTTGTTCCTTGCTTTGAACTAATTTCTTTTTCCTTTCTTCACCTTGATTTATATTGTTTCTGTGTGAAGATGTCTAAAATACCCTGAGATTTAATTATGCAGATGGCTAAAAATTGTTACCTCAGGATAAATCGTCATGTTACCTGCAGGACAAACAATTGATATCTTGATTGAAATGAGTTAAAGTAGTGGAGAAAGCAGTACTACAGAAGTAAAAACTACCGGAGCAAATTAATTCCAGCTTATTTCCTTGGCTGGTAGCTATCAGCTTGCAATTGTACTTTTGAAGTGGCCAGTGTTTGTTTACTCCTCCTGTCCAGACTTTTGTTTTAAATGTTTGAAGTAATATTTTTGAAATGGGATTAATAGCTGTGTAAAAGGTAAAATACTATTTTCTTTGGTTAGGTGAAAGTTACTCAGGCCTTCTCTCTTTTCTCTTCATACAGATTTTGTGAGCCTGCACAGGAAGACACTGAGAAGAAAATTGAGCCCTGGAACAAGCAACACTAATTCCCATTACCTTTCAAACACCCAGTAAATCTATTAAATTTTTTTTGACTCAAATTCAGGTCTGCCACATGGCATTATGTACCCTCTTATTCAGGTGTGGTCTTGGTAATAGCATGATGACAACTGCTAGAGAGCCTCATGAAGCATAAATTTCTCCAGTCACCTTTGGAAGTCAATTCCCTAATGTTTCTCAGATTGCTCTTTATAATTATTTAGTGTCTCTTACTCTCTGTTTTTAAAATCAGTATGGCCTGTACTACATAGCACAAAACAATCCAGATGATAGCAACAAGATGACCACGGTGATTGATACATGCAACTTGTGAAAACGTCATTTGGCGAAATACCATATAAATAGAGGGCTTGAACCTCCCAGCCTTTGCTTAGTTGAATAATCCTTCACTGGATAAGTAAATGTGCTTCAGACCCTTTAAAATCTCTCCTGTTTCTGTATTTGCAAGCAGATATTAAATTGTCTGATAATATCATATTTTGAAGAGAGCCAAGGTAAATGAGGTGTCTGCAAGACGAGGGTTTATAATGAACCCTCGTAGCAATGACAGATTTATTGTAAGACAATCTTTTAAGAGCATAAATGTAACATGTAATGACCTAAAAAGATTTAGTGACCTGCAAAGTTTAAGATTAAAACCCCTACCATCCCAAATAGCTGAGTTCTTAGCTGCACCAGTGAAAGCTGGAAGGAATCCCACACAGTTCCCAGACTTTCCTAGGATGACTACAGATAATGTTTTACTTTGACAACAGTGCCAGTTTAATCTAAAGGGAGATAACCTCCTTGGATGTTCTACTAGCTAACAAGGCAATCTAAATCTGAGAAGTTCTTTGGCTGTCTTCTTGTGAGTACTAATCTTCTTAAGTAACTGGTAGTGCTGAGGTCACTACTGATGTGTTGTGTGATGCATTAGCAGTTGTGGATGGAGAATAAAAATTCAGAAAGGAAAACCTGTAGCTATTTAAACATTAAAGAAACAGCTGGATTAGTATAAAGCAGTTAGAGCAAAAAGTATACTTCAATTTCATAGTAGAAATTTACCATCTAGATACGCTAGATATTGTCAATAAATGCAGGTTTCAGCACAGCAGAGACATAGAGTTAATCCATTTGGATTGATACAGACTCACTGTGGGGTGAAACTCCATTACCTTTTAGTAATGCTGTCAGGATAGCTAAATCAATATCCTGGTGTCCTTCTGATCCCATGCGAAATACTGTGATCTGCAATGTTAAAAGACAATGCCATTATTTAAACCAGGGTAATTTTTTAAAAAAGAAATCAAATCAGGGAAGCATCATTTGGGTCTCAAAATGTCCTAATGGCTACAAAATGGTCTTACTTTATACATTTTATGAGAAGTTTATTAGATAGGATTAACGCATAGTATTTTTTGTGAGATAAAATTTGCTAAAGGTAGAAATTTTATTAATAAGCATATGGAAGAAAAGTCTTCAGTGATACTTACAGGGTGAAATTATTGATGAAGGAATGTTCTTGTACTAGAGTAACATCAGATTTAGTGTTCCCAATGCATTACTAGGAAGGAATTATGTGTATTATAGGTTGTGGACCTAATTTATGGCATATGGCATTGAATAAATATTTTCAACCAAATTTAGCAACCTCCTCAACCTCACGGTTTTATACAGCAGAAACTTAGATAACTAATCTAAGAACTAGGCTTCTGACAGGTCCATAAACGTTGTTAGCCATGTGCAATTGGTGACGTATCACTGTAAGATACAAGCTTTGAGGCAGTGAGGTGACATAGACAATTTGTGAAGAACAAGAATGAATATAGTGGAGCTGTTCTTTCAAGCCAGTTGCACTCTTGGTTAAGACTACCCTGAAACATATAGAAGTGTAAATACCTTTGATCCTTTTGTTGCCATGGCAATAGCTGCTCTTGGGCCCCTGCTTCTTGTGAAGCAACTGAAATTGCAGCTTTTTATTAGTGCCTTTCCTTTACTAATGAAACCTATATCATCATTTTGATCTGAATACCTGTTACGTGTTTTTCTTTTTCCTTTTGCCAGTACAGACTGTGTCTTTTTTTTTTTTAATTGAGTGATACCTGTAGTTAGGAATTTTTTTAAAACATATTTTAAACATATAGACATATTTTACACTCATATTCAGCAGCATATGTTGTCTCCACATTCCTAGATTCTTACTCATACAGCACCACTGAACTGCAGCAGCATCTGGGATAGAGATCAGCAAACTTCAGGGCACAAAGAAAGTGTATTGTGACAGGGAAAGGAGAGATATAAAGTGGTCAAGGCTAAGACAACACCTTGGTGACAAGCTTCAGTATGCCAGCTGAAATAGCCCTGCAGAGCGTATCCCGAGAAATCCAGTGTAGTCCTCCTGTAACACTTTTTCTACTTTCACTTGACCCTAAAGCTCTCGGGGGTTCAAAGGGAGGTAAGAGACTTTGGCATCAGTGACAGTAGCATGTTAAAGACTGACAAGGCAAACTGAATGAAATAATAGGAAACTGGATTAGCTCAATTAGTCAACTGATTTAGATGATGCCTAAAACAATTAATGTGAGAAAGCATTTATGTTAGGTTGTTCACCCCAATTACAGTAGATTGTTTTCAAATTAGACTTAGTTTGACCCTTCAAAGTGTTCCTGAGACAAAGCATATATACTACAAATGATACTTTAAACAATCTATTTTCTCTCTCCCCCTGGAATCTGCAGATGTTTCTGGCAAATCATGTGATGTCTATGCCCATCCCGCAACTTTTAGAATAGAATAGAATAGAATAGAATAGAATAGAATAGAATAGAATAGAATAGAATGGAACCTCAGCGGAGCTGAGGGAGTGGAACAGAACAGAACAGAACAGAACAGAATAGAATAGAATAGAATACAATAGCATAGTTCAAGCTGGAAGGGAACTGCAATGATTATCTAGTCCAACTGCCTGACCACTTCAATGGTGACCAAGCATTAAAGCATGTTAAGATCATTGTCCAAATGCCTGTTAAAGACTGACAAGCATGGGGCATTGACCACCTCACTGGGAAGCATGTTCCAGGGTTTGACCACCCTCTCGGTAAAGAAATGTTTCCAGATGTTTTTCCCAATTTCTTTTTTTAATGTCCTCAGTGACTGGCAAGGAAGCTTTCCCTGCAGCACAGGCAGTCTGCTCCTCTGACCTGTGGAGCACAGGTAATGTGGGTAGAAATACATGTTTCTATGTATGTCTTGTCTCAAAACACAGTAAAATGTGAGACGATGAGACTGTACGTGCTCATGATGTACCTCCTGTGCCACAGCTGATGAACTGCACCACAGGGGTGAGCAGCCAGGCAGGCAGGGCAGAAGGCAGAGGAAGGGACAGCCTTCCTCCCTCTCCCTGCGGGAAGGCGGAACATCTCCCTCCTGGTGGGCAGCTCCGGCAGGTGCTGACAGTGGGGGGAAAACTGTTGCCCCGTAACAGTCTGATCATAACATCCTCACCACGCTTTGCAACTCCCTACCCCGTTTTTGCAGCAATGGGCACCTCCGTAGCACTGAGGAGAAGTGTGGCAGGCGGGCAAGCAGACCAGCTAACGCTGGGAGAGCCTTCTTTGCGTCACTGCGCTTGCTGGCACCACCGCATGGCAAGAGGCCCTTCTCCTTCTTTAAGACCAAAGGTGAAGCAGCCTGCACATGGGGGACTGAAAATACTGAATAACAGGAGTTCAGCGGAAGAACAAACTAAAAACTACATCTCAAACTAAACACATGCTCAGTGGACTCCCAGCTGAATCATAGGGCATCGTATAAATTGCAAGCACTGAACATCATAACGCCACAGGAAAACTAAGGGAAGGACTTTGCATGTATTGGACCACATATAACCCCAAATTTTCAACTTCTCTTTCAACCCTCTTCCCTGCATGCCTCAGAAAAATAAAGCCACTTTGGCAGAACAAGTTGCTGCTGTATTAAAAATAAAATAGAACTAAACTATGTAATTTAGTTACATCAGAATAAAAAGGCTGTCTTTCTACAGCAACTGTTATTTTATTATTATTTTTAAGGGGTCTAGCATAATTCAAGTAGTAAAATAAAGAAAAAGAAGATAAATAATTGGAAAAAAGATGGAACTG